CCTCCGAGTCAAGCTCTCTCTTCTTCATGAATGAACCAAGCCTTCTACAAGTCCAGGAGGGCAACATCCCAAAGCACTACACAAATAAAAGCTATTACTAATATTGTCAAGCTCCGGACAGATCTGGTCTTCTCTTAGGGCACAAAGCATATGAAGGATGCTAAGACCACTCAGTTTGGAGTCCATCATTCACACAATGAAGCAATCAACTGGGGATACAGAGAACAAAAAAAAAACCCACAAGTATATATTAAGTATCAACTATGTGTCAGGCTGTGCTAAGGCTAGGGATACAAATAGAAAAACCAAAACTGTCCCTGCCCTCAAGAAGCTTACATTCTATTGGGGGAGGGGAGGTAGAGAGCAAATTACACAGAAAAGTAACTATACACACACACACACCTATTATATATATATGTGTGTGTACATACATACATACCATACATACATACATATATACATATATGTGTGTATATATGTGTGTGTGTGCATGTGTGTGTGTGTGTGTGTGTGTGTGTATATATATATATATACATATATATATATATGAGGCAGAGAGAGAAAGAAGAATCAAAGCAATTTGTGGAAGGGGAGAGCACTAGCAGTCGTATAACCCTGGATTATAATCCCAGCTCATTCACTTAGTCTCAGTACTTTTATGATTTTCGGCAAGTCAACTTCACTGGGTCTCAGTTTCCTTATCTATAAAATGGGAATTATTTTTTGGCCAGGACCTGTGATTTCATCAGCACAGGAAATCTCCCCGAGAGGAAACTCCCTCTACCAGTGCAGTACCCACTTTGTGTTATAGTCTTATATAATTTCTGCAGGTTGGATTTGAACCCAAGTCTTCCTGACTCCAAGTCTCACAAAGCCATGATTTAACAACCCGTAAAACAAGGGGGTTGAACTAGATGATATCAGGCTATATCCTGTAACAGGGCAAATTCAGCCTGAGACACTTACTAGCTGGGTAACCCCTCACAAGTTACTGCCTCAGTCACTTAGTAACTATGTGATCCTGGGTAAGTCTCACTTCACCACTATCAACCTCAGTTTTCTCATCTGTAAAATGGGAATAATAATAGTACCTACTTCCCAGGGTTGTTGTGAGATAACAAGTGAGAAAACACATGCAAAGTGCTTTGCATATTTTAAAGCACAATATAAAGGCTAGCTGTTATTATCTGGTTGAACCCTTTCATTTAAAAGATGAAGAAACTGAGGCCCAGAAAGATAAAGTGACTTTAAGATCATAGACTTAGAGTATCCAGGTCATCTAGTTCAATCCTCTCCTTTTACAGACACCTAAGGTCATGTAGTCAGTCACTGCCAGGACTAGACCCCCTCCCCAAGTCTCCCCACTCCCAGGCCAAGACTATTCTACCAAGTAAAGTTGCTAAGAATCTCCCTTCCCTATGTCTCAGTCTTCTATATAAAATAGGAACAGTAGACCTGCCAAATCATCCTATTTTAATTGATTAAGCATTAAGTATATACAGAAGGGTGGGAGAAGGAAAAGAGAAGACAGAGAAAGAGAGAGAGAGAGAAGGAGGAGGGGAGAGAGGGAGAAAGAGAAAAAAGAGAGAAAGAGAAAGAGAGATAAGGATATGGGGGAAGAGGGACAGAAAAAAGAGAAAGAGAGAGAAGAGAGAGGAGGAGGAGGAGGAAGGAGAGGAAGAAGGAAGAAGAGAGAGAAGTAAAGGGAAAGGGTATAGGCATTGGCGGTATGGAGAATTGGAATCAGGAACTCTTAGGCATCATATTTGTGGTGTAACCCTGGGCTAGTCATTCAACCTTTCTCAGCGCTCCAGGAAACTGAATCCCTAAGTTGTAGAGAAGGCACAGGGTGTTTGAAATGAGAATTTCCTAAACCAATGAAACCACAGATCCACTTCCCCCAGTTCACATACACAGAAGACAAAAACAAAACAGTCCCTGCCCTGGAGGAGCTTACCTTCTATTGGGTAGCACAGAATCTCCACTGCCCAAAATGTAGCATGTCGTAAGTGCTCAACAAAGTCTTGTTCATTCAATCATTCATTCACTCAGCATTGTCTGGAGGAAGTCAGGCACCAAATAAGCCATGTAAATAACCTCCAGGCTCCCACAGGAGCCTGAAGGGGGCACCCAGAGGGACAGTGGTTCCCAAGGCTCCTGGGAATTCCCAAGGCATTTAGATCTAGGCCACTTTAAAGTAAAGCACTCAAAAACCCACCAATGGCACCCATGACTCCTGTCCTACCAAGCGCCCAGAACCATTATTCCAATCTCTTCTTGTTAGTTTTCTCTATCAAAGTCTTGCTCCCTGAAGCCCTGACATGGAGGAGACCTTAGGGAAGGTCAGGAGGCCAAGCTCTGGCATGGCCTACCAAGCTACCAGAGCTTCAGGTTCAGGCTTGAAGACTGAGAGCCAGTTACCCAACAGCTCAGGGTCAGGCTGGCTGCAGGAGGAGGAATGGACTGCTCACAGCAACTCTTGAAAATGGTGTAAGTTCCAAGAAGGGATTTCAACCAACTACTGTGGGAGTGCACACATCAATAATAATAACAACAAGAACAGGAATGACTGTCACTTCCGTATTCCTTTAAGTCTGCCAACCACTTCACATTTAGGCCTCACAACAACCCTGGGAGGTGGGCGCTTTCGCTATTATTAGCCTCATTTGATCGATATGGGAAACTGAGGCTGGGGGAGCCTCAAGTCACACAGATCATAATCATCCAAAGGTCCCTGACAGTCCTAGGACCAGCCCCTCTTACTGGGTCAACCCAGTCTACCAGAGGGCTGAAAAGGGGTGGAGGGGATGAGTTCCTTGAGTAGGAAGGGAAATCTCAGCAGGGGAAAAAGAGAGTCAACCAGGAGACCTGAAGTGAGGCACAGAGAGGGAGTAAAGTACCTCCCAGCTAAAGGGAGGGGCATCAACAAATGGGGGGGGGGTGTGGAGAATGAGAGAATTCAACTCAATTCAACAAACAAAAAGAGAGCACAATGATGTGCCAAGCACTGTAGGGCACCACTGCTAAAAAAAAAAAAAAAAGAAGAAGAAGAAGAAGACAGAAAGAAAGAAATAGTCCCTGTCCTCAGGGAGCTTACATTCTCTTAAGGGGGTGGGGCAGCTACAAAGAAAGGTAAATGCAAATCTATGCAAAATATTGCTCAATGGAAAGCACTGACCACTTGTGTGCTGGGAGGCCTTCTGGATAAGCTTTCTGGTAGTGGACAGAACTCAGCTTTGCAAACAGTAAGACCCATGTTCCAATTCAGCCTCGGACAGTAGCTGTGGCAAGTTAGTTCAACTCCCTGGGTCTCAGGAAAATTCCAGGATTGGCCTTCAAGGCCTCTCACGGTCCTTTTCTAGCTCCAAGTCTATGATCTTATGACCCATGTACTAGGAGTAGGTGGTTCAAGGAAGGCAGGTCATGTTGAGGAGGGAGATCCTTTTCCCATATGGAAAACTACTTTGGCAGTGGCATGGAATGGGGAGGGGGCTACTCTTGCCCCCTAAGGTCCTCTCCTGACCTGGATGGCCCCTGCTCCTCTGTGGGAATTCCTCCCAGGTCACACATCCCAGAAAAGCAATCCTTTTAGGAGAGCAAGAAAACAGGCAGCCATCAGGGCTGGGGAGAAGAACGGAAGGAAGGCTTTACGTTGGCACTGCACAGGGCTGGGGCCGCAACCCCAACACCTGCCCCAGCCAGACTGTCGTTTTGCATTCAGTAACCAGAGGGTGAGAGACTGGGAACTCTCAGCATTCCAGGGAAATCACCCAAACCACACACACACACACACACACACACACACACACACACACACACACACTCTGTCTCTCTCTCACTCTCTCTCTCTCTCTAATTCTATCTCTCTTCCACTCTCTCCCTCTGTCCGACAACCACAACACTACTTGGCCATAAGCGCGGCCCGTTTTGTAACACCAGGGACCAGAGCCCACCATGACTGGGTGGAATCCACATGACGTGAAAGGAGCGAGAGCAGGGGCAGAGGCAGGGGCAGGGGCAGGCCCGTGACTCACTCACTCACCCCTGGACCAAAGCCTCTGCAAAAAGAAATGTTCTATTTTGCTGCCGGAGTGCATTCTTCCCTGGGTGACACTTTTGTGTGTTTACAATTGCTTCCTTGCACATTAGTATTCGGCCCAAGCTCCTGCAGGTTTGGGGGTGTGGGGGGGGGGGGCCTGGAAATCTTAATACTCACACACCCAGCCCGGCCTGGGGAAACCAGACACCCGAGAGCCAACCCCTGGAGTGGAGGAGGGGGGAAGAACAAGACTTCAATCCAGATGTGCTCTTATGGCACTGCTACCACGCGGATGGGGAGTGGGGAGCAGATTTCTGCTTGGGAGGGAAACGTTTTCGTAGTAGGCTGTGTTTACGAGGGCTGGGGAAGAACACCGAGAGCCCAGGGCCGCCCAAGGCGGCCAGCTACACGGGCTCAGCACCGAAACATCTCGTTTTCTGCCTGCTGCACGCACAGCCCCGGAACAAAATCTCCAGGGGGTAGGGGCCACTCCCCTCCTCCCCGGGTGGCCGCGGGGCAGAGGCGGGCTGTGTCGTGAGGGTGGGGGAGCGGGGAAGGGGACTTTAGCTGGGGGGAAGTGGGGGACGGAGGGAGAGGGAGAGTGGACCCTAGGACACGGACCCCCTCCCCCTACTTCAGCTCAGCTAGGTCCGGGATTGGCAACACCTGGAAGTAGTTTCCCCCACACCTGGAAAGGAGCGGAGGGGCCTCTCCACTGCGCCCCCGGTACCCGAGAAAGCACTGCCCGGCCTCCTCTGGAAGGAGCAGAGGTCTGGTACCGTGGCTCGGGGGATTCCAGGCAGGACAAGCGGAAGGAAGCCCCCCCCCCCACCTACCCAGCCCGAGGCCGGGGGGCCTGGGCTGCCCCCGCGGGGGACGGGCGCGCCCGGGGCGGTCCCCCGGCCCGGCCCCCCCGGGGGGGGAGGGGGGGAGGGGGAGGGGTGCCTGGGCGGACACTCACCTCTGCTGGCCTCTGGGTGCGTGCGTGCGTGAGGTGCAGGGCAAAGCAGGGCAGGGCAGGGCACTCCCCTCCGGCCTGGGCTCGGCCCGAGCTCGTCCTCCTGCCCCAGCCGGCCGGGGGCTGGCTGCTCCTCCGCTTCAAGGCTGCGCGGCCGGGGCCCCTCGGTGCGGCGGCCCCCGGGCACGGCCGGCCCCTCCGCCTCGGCCCCGGCCCCGGTAGCAGCTCCTCCCGGCTGCCCGGGCACCTCCTTCTTCTCTTCCTCCTCCTCCTCCTCCTCCTCCTCCTCCTCCTCCTCCTCCTCCTCCTTTGGCCACTGCTGCTCCGCCGCTGCCGGATGCAAGTTGGCCTCGGCCCCGGCCGGCTCCCAATGGCATAGTCCGCCCTGTCGCGGAGCGCCGAGCGCAGGGCGCGGGGCAGCGCCGAGGTCCGGGGCTGCTGGCCGCCGCGTGCGCCCCCGCCCCGCGCCGGCTCGGGCTCCGGCTCGGGCTCGGGCTCGGGCTCGGGCTCGGGCTCGGGCTCGGGCTCGGGCTCCGCTCGGGCTCGGGCTCCGCTCGGGCTCCGGCTCGGGTTCTGCTCCTGCAGCAGCGCCGGGCGCACGTGCCGCGCTGCCGCTCGCGCTCCCGGGCTACCTGGAAGCTGGGGGCGGGGGCCCAGGCCCGGCCGGTGCGCGCCCAGCCCAGGGCACAGGCGCCGTTGACAGCTTTCTTTTCGTGCCCCGGCGCGGGCCGCCGCCGCTGCAGAGGAGCCGCTGCCGCCGCTGCCTGTCTGCGCTTGGAGGGGATTGCATTCCCTCACTCGGGGAGGGCCGGGAAAGGAGAGCGGCCTGCGCCTCCGTCAGGCCACGCGGGAGAGCGGCGGCGGCAGGGACGGGATGGGGGGTGGGGGTGGGGGGCAGCCGAACTGGGGAGGACCAACCCGCGGGGTCTGTGCCTGATCCGATCGGCCCCAGAACTGCCCTCCCGCACACGGCTGCTGGGCGACCACCGGGGGCACCGTCAGCCACTTTGGCCGAAGACAGAAAGCGGTCCAGACCCTTAACTTCTGGACCCCAACTCTGGAGTTCAGCTACAGGAGAATTGCAGCGCCTTCGAAAGTGGGGTGTCTTTGATGGGGCTCTCCCTCCCGGGCCAAAGACCCTGGAAATCTCGTGGGCCGTTTGTGCGTTTAGTCCCAAAACATTTGAGCTTGGCTTCCTGGGTTCGAGATTATTTTGTCATCTTTTCACTCCCTTTTAGGAAATTTACGATCGCATCACTCGGGGTCAGCTATTTTGAAAAGCTTTTATTCTTTGAAAGAGCTTAGCAAGTTTTCAGAGCAAAGCGTAGCTACATTGTTGCTCTTTTTTTCACTTCCCAAAGACTTTTCTCCCTTCACTTTTGTAAGAAGGCAAGCAAGAAGAAACCCAATTGGCCCGTCCCAAGCTGTCTGTGCCTCCTTCAGTAACCTATAGCCCACTACCCTTCTGCTGAGAACTGGTCCGGCATCAGTACTTGCAAGTCGTCATTCGTCACTGCTTTTGATCAGAGCTCTCAAGCCTTTAAAGGTTTTGTTTACCGGAGGCTGCCTCCATTCTGACAGGTCTTTTCTAGATTCTTCCTATTTGTCATTTCTTGTTCAGGCATGTCCCACTCGTCCTGACCCCATTTGGGGTTTTCTTGGCAGAGGTACCACAGTGGTTGTCATTTCCTTGTCCAGCTCATTTTACAGATGAGGAAACTGAGGCAAACAAGGTGAAGTGACTTGTCCAGGGTCACACAAGTGTCTGAGTCCAAATTTGGACTCAGGAAGATGAATCTTGACTTCAGGCCTGGCACTCTATCCACTGCGCCACCTAGCTGCCCTCTTTCTCATTTTTTATACCACCATAATATTCCATTACATTCATATACCACAATCTTTTCAGTCATTCCTGTCAATGGAGTTCCCATTGCCACTATAAAAAGCTCATTTTGTATATATTTCCGTGGAGTACATGCCTTGAGAGACTGTACCACTGGGACAAAGAGCACATACAGACAGCTTAGTGACAAGTCCCAGTCAGTGACAGGCCAACATATATTAACCTGACAGTAATGTGGCCTCTTCTGCTTACTACCCATAATAGATAGGCTACCCTGGTCCTCCCTTTCTTATTTTGTAAAATGAGGGGAAGTGGTACATGTCACCTTCTGCAGGGCCCCTCCAGTTGTAGCCACATGAGCCTAAATCTGATTCCAAATCACACATCACAATTGTCACAACTCTATGTATTAGTGTACTTGTCTTCCAGCATTTTATCTTTCCTCATCTTTGCCAGTGGATATGAAATGAAACTTCAAGAGTTTTTTTTTTAATGTGCATTTCTCTTATTAGTGATTTAGAGCATTTTTGCATGTGGTGTGGCCCTACATTTTCAGACTTCCAATATACTTCACAGGGTTCCACACAAGACTTAAAAAAAAAATTTTTTTAAAAAGGAATTAATCACACCAGAGTGAAAAACATCTGGTAGGTAGGAATAAAAATATTTTGTAATGTGGAAGTCCGAACAGTGGGGTCCCTTGACATTTTCATGAATGATAAGCTATCCTTTATGGAAATCCCTTCTCCTGGATACTGACAGTGCTCTCTAATTTTCCTTATCTGGTTGACCTTTCTCACCCCTCAGTTCTCCTGGGAGAATCGGCTACTTTGAGTAGATATATCCCAAATGCTCTGCACCTGCCTCTGTTCTTACTCCACTCTTCTCCTCTTGAGGGTTTTAGCATCTCTACATGGATGACTCCTTATCTATGTATCTAGCCCTAAATTTCTCTCCTGAATTAGTCATGTATCTTAAACTCCCTGATCATCTCTCTCTGGACGTACCATCAACATCTCAAATTTAGCATGTCCAAAATGGCACACATTTTACCCATCTCTCCTTCCAAGTTTCCTGTTTCAGTTGAGGACATCAACATTCCAGCACTCATTCTGGCTAACAACCTATGAGTCATTGCTGAATCTTCCTCCTTCACCCTCTTTATTTAACAGCTGCCAAGTCAACAACCCATTCCCCCATTCAGCCACCTTATTGGGGTCATCGTCTCTTTGATTCCCATGTCTCCTCTCTCCAGCCTACCCTCCACATAGCTTCCAGAATGGGTCAGACCAAGTCACTCCCCTGCTCGGGAATATTCCCTGGATCCTTGTTGCCTCTGGGATGAAGTATGAACTCATCTTGGGATTTGAAGCCCTTTACTATGTACCTTTTCAAATTTATTTTATAGTACTCTGTCCACCCTACCTTCCAGCCAAAATGAACTACTACCTATCACCTCAACAGTCTATCATCTTCATTCCTTTGTACAGGCCATCTCCCATGCTAGAAAGCACTCCCTCACTTTTCCTTCTTAGACATTCTATTGTTTTTCTTCAAGGCTCAGTTGAGTTATGTCCTACCATCAAGTCTTTCCTGATTCCTCATCTCTAGCAATTAATGCTCTCTTCTCAGACTGCATTATATTTACCATTTACATGTTCTGTATCTCCATGTGAAATATAATTTCCTCGATGTCAGAAATTTTTTATCTCTGTAGCCCTTACTGCCTAACATGACATCTCTTAACACAAAAGGCACTTTTTATTTGAAATACTGAGTTGAATGAAAAGTGGTAATCCCCAAGTTGGTACATGACATTAAGCTTTTCTGGGTAGTGAAAGCCAGGCAAATGAGAATAAATTTCAACAAAATCTTAAGTGGCTGTGTGCATAGAGAGAAAAGTGGCAGATGAGTTTTGCTGTGGGCAAGTGTAAGGCAATTTATTTAGGAAAAAAATATACAATAACATAAAGTGATGGGCTTCAAGTTATGAGTTACAAAGAAGGAAAGAGATGTAGGGATCCACTTAACACAGTGGCACAATGAGCCGCCTTGGTCCAAAAGTAGAAAATACAGAGTAACATTAAGAAACATATTAGAAGCCAGTTACATTACTCCTACTAACAGTACAAAACCTAGATGCACCAAACCAAGAATATTCATTTTGTTCTCTTCCCCGGCCCCCAAAAGACAATAAAATGGGGAAAAAAGGTCCAAGAAAGCAGCTCAGATGATCGGAGGGCTTCAATTTAAGGAGATAATAAAAAAATTAGGATAAATCAACCTACAACAACGACTGAGAGGCTACAGGAGCAGTGTTTAATGAAGCTATAGAAGCAAGTGAATACAGTGAATCTGGCCTTGTTCACCAAATCCTGAAACATAGAACTGATGAGGCACTTGAAACTCAGAAACTATTTTGGAAAAAAAAAAAAAAGGACTACTTTCTGCAGCAGGCAGTAAATATGTAGGTATCGGTATTCCAAGGAGTGACACAGACTGATGATGAAGAGGTTCAAAAAGGGCTTGGAATAAGCCCATCAATTAAAAGAGCCACAACAGGTGATTTATTCACTGCTTAGCTTCAGTGTCAGAGGCTGGACATCGTGTCCCCATGTGATATTTATGGTCTTAGGTGAAAAAAAGAAAATGATTTTTAATTCTCACCTTACAAAGTTCAAACCAAGGTGAACTTACTAAAGGGTCACAGAATCAGAACTGGAACGAACTTTAGTGATCCAGTCTAAACTCAATTTCACAAATAAGGAAACTGAGGACCAGAGAGGGGAAATGACTGTCAGTCTAGTCCTCCAGTTACTTTCTCACCGCCTCTTAAGAAGACATTAGGATTGGGGCAGCTCGGTGGGGCAGTGGATAGAGCACGGGCCCTGGATTCAGGAAGACCTGAGTTCAAATTCGGCCTCAGACACATAACACTTACTAGCTGTGTGACCCTGGGCAAGTCACTTAATCCCATTGCCTAGCCAAAAAAAAAAATACATTAGGATCAATTAGGGTTTTCTAGGGGCATAGGGAGCCATCTAAAAGGATAACTATTAAAAAAATAAGCTTGTTGCTCTCTGTTATTCCAGTCCATGTTCTGATACTACCAACAGCAAAGCAATTATTGGATTCAAACAAGAGAATTCTAACTTATCCAAAGCATTATCTAGGGCTTAAAGATTCCTATTAAAATAGACATATTTTATAGCAGTTCGATGCTATCAATTAGTTATTCCTAACAGG